TCTTCGGGGGAGGCTCGGGACACTTCTCAGGAGGCCCGAGGCCTTTCGAGCCTTCTGACTGAGAAGGCCCGCCCCTTCTCTAGGGGAGCCGAAAATGGCATAAACATAAAAACTCGGAGGTCCGCGCGGAGTTCTTGGATCCGCGCTGGACCCCCCCCTGCGCCAGGGGCGGCGCGGGAGGCACCGCCGGTGGGGTGGCCTCAGCGCCGATTCGAGAGATCCGCGCGGACCTCCGCGTTTTGATGTTTACGTTTTTTTTCGCTCCCCTATTCTCACTTCCCCCCCAGGCGGAGGAGGAGGAGGAGGAGGAGGAGGAGGAGGAGGAGGAGGAGGAGGAGGAGGAGGAGGAGGAGGCTCGCCGCCCACTCGGCCTGCGGGCCCCCCGTGCCCGAGCCCCTGGGCGCGGCCGAGCAGGCCTCGGCGAGGGCCGCGCGAGCGCGCCTCTGCGGGGTGCCCACCCGCGGGCCTGCGCGGCCCGCCTCGCGGCAGCCGACCCCGCCGCGGCACCGCCGGCGGAGGGGGGCCAATGGGGCACGGGGGGCCACGCGCGCCGCGGCGCTCGAAGAGCAAGAGGGAGACCGGAAACGGGAGCACGTGCATCACCAGTGGCGGGCTTTGCTTCCATCGGGCCGGGCGAAAGGGGGGGATTGGGCAAGGGGGGGTTATGACATTTGCTGCGTGCAGCTGGTTTCGGCCCCGCCGCCGGGCCCATTCCTCGATGCATGGGCGCCTCCCGGCGCCGGGAGGCGCCGGGAAAGTCAGCCACGTGAGCTGATTCTCGACCCCCCCCCTTTGCTATCCCCCCTTTCGCCGGGCCCGATTCAATCCCCAGACTTTTTTGAGGGTCGTGGGCGACGTCGGGGTGGCGTGGTGTATACCTCTCCCCCGTCTTCCAAGGGACACAGCGAAGCATTGATACACCAGGATCCCCCCGTATACACCAGGATCCTCGTTCCTGTGCGAATTCCAGCGCAGGGTCGGAAAAAGCGTCGGTGTATAGAGCTCGTTTCCCTAAGAGAGGCTGCGCGAGCACGAACTTTCGGAGCAAGTCGGGCGTGTCGCTCTGCAGGAGGAGTGTTCAAGATTAGTAGCGATTTCTTTCGAGTATTTTGGAACCATTCGTGAATATTTTTAGACTATGTTTCGTTTGTCGTCCAACATCCCCCTATAGGGTGACATGCCCGACCTAATTTTCGGAGGTCCGCGCGGATTTTCTGGATCGGCGCTGGACCCCCCTGGCCGCGCCTCCAGCGCCGCCTCTGGCGCGCTCCGCGCGGATCCAGTGAACTCCGCGCGGACCTCCGAAAGTTGATGGCATGCCGTCGCCCTTCGTCGAAACCCCTTACGGCTGAGGCGGATACCCACCCTGCGCGCCCGTTAGGAGGATGAGGAGGAGGGAGGAGGAGGAGGATGAGGAGGAGGAGGAGGAGGAGGAGGAGGAGGAGAAAGGGAGGAGGAGGAAGAGGGTGTGCGAGGCGGGCCGGCAGCTCCTTTCGTTAAATCTAACAGCCCCGACATGTCGGGTGGGGGAAAAGCTGCGTAAGCGGCAACTTCTGGAACGTTCCGGTGCAGTTCGGTCAGGCTGGGCTCCGCAGCGCCCACCTGTCCAGTTCGGCCCTGTTCGCTATCGCACGTTTTTCGGTGCGGTTCGGTTCGGCACGGTGGAACGCACCACCCGGTTCGGCCCGCTTTGGCAAATTCTTGTTTCTGGTACGGTTCCGTTCGGAGATGGCGAGCGTGGCCCGCCAGCGGGCCCACGTGCTCTGCCTTGTCGTCCGTCGCCAGTCGCCAGTCGTCCGTCGTCGTTCTCGCGAGGATTGCTCGGATCGGCGCCGGGCCTCGCGCGCCAGGGAGGGGCGTCCAGCGCCGATCCAGGAAATTCGCGCGGACCTCCGAACGTTCATGCTTGTGCCGGCCTTTCTTCTTCCAGAGAGGGAGGGGGAGGTGATGAGACGAGACCGATCACGAAGTGGTCAAAAGCGTGCCTCGCCCCCCCTGGCCTCGTAGCCGAACAAGGCGAACACGTAGTCGACCGCGAAGGAGGCCAGGAAGATGAGGGTGAGGGGTTCCATGCATCACCCTCTTCCTCCGTCACGGGGAAGTCTGAAACGTCGAACTTCACATCTGCTAGCAGTCGGCCCCCACACCAGAAGTCGCGGAGGGCGCGGGCGGGGCGGAACTGGCTATCTCCGCCGTGACCGCCGCGAAGCCATGGAACAGCTCGCCCACGTCGAGATCTGGCTGCTGTGGCGTTTGCCCCCTACTCGGGAAGCCGACCGCGCCCCCTGCCCTCGCCGGCCACCTCAGCTGCACGCTCGCGTCCACCACGAGGCTGCGGCAAGGACAGCGACAGCGGCGCAGCCGCCGCCAGCGACAGGGCAGCCATTGGCCGCAGGGGCCCTCACTCGGCCCGGGCGAAAGGGGGGGATTGGGAAAGGGGGGTTTACGAAATTTGCTGCATGCAGCTGGTTTCGGCCCCACGGAGGGTTCCATTCTTCGACACATGGACGCCTCCCGGCGCCGGGAGGCGCCGGGGAAAATCAGCTACGTGAGCTGATTCTCAAACCCCCCCTTTGCTATCCCCCCCTTTCGCCCGACCCGACTCACGCCAGCGGCCGTCGCACTTGCGGCGGCAGCGCCCGCGGCGCCCTCGGCAAGGCAGAGGCATCCCTCGCACGGGGGCCCTCTGGGCGGCCTCCGCCCTGCCGCGCACGGAGCGGCGGGGCAGCGACCCCCCGCCGGGGGCCCCGGCGGCCTCGGCGGCTGCCTCCCGCACGCCGAGGCGCTGCGGCTGCTCCGCCGCCTCCGCGAGGTCGCGCGAGGAGAAGGCGACGGATCCACGCCAACAGCGCAGCCCCTGCCGCACAGCCGCCCAGGCGGCCGTGCTGCCCTCGAGGGGCTCCCAAGCTCCAGGCGGGGGCGGGAGCTCGGGCGCGTCCGGGCTCTGGGAGAGCGCTTCGCGGTCCGCCCGCGCCCCGGCAGCCGCGCGCCACGGCGCCGCGCCTCGAGCCCTCCCCGCGCGCTTCTCGGCGTGGCTGAGCTCCGCCCTGCCAGCAGCGGCCACAGGCACACCAGAGGGGCCCTCAGAGACTGGAGAGCCACACTGCGCCTCTGGATGTCCAGTGCGTCAGGGCTCACTCCAGCCAGGGAGGATGCAGGCGACCCTCTCCGCCACCTCCGCGTCACCGACGAGGTGGTTCATCGCGGTCTCCAGCGCCAGAACCTTGCGGTCGGCCTCGCCCAATTTCGCCTGCAGCTTCGCGGCGGTCCGCGGCCTCCCGTGCTCCGTCAACCCCGCGCAGAGGAGCTCGTGCCGCCGCTAGACCCCGTGCGCGACGCTGCCGCCGTGCTGCAGCAGCGCTCACAGTGTCTTCCCGCCCCGCACCCAGGGCTTGGCATCGCTCGGACGTGTGCATTTTTTCGGCGAGAACCATCGAGGAACATCCTTGATCATTTTAGGGAGCCAGATGCGAACCCTCCCCCTCAGAAATCGTGGGGGGTAGGGGTAGGGTTCGCACGTGGCCCCCTAATCCTTGATCATTTGGCGAAACAACCACGCACGAAACCGACAAAAGAGCACAGGGACTGGACGTCCGAGCGGTGGCGAGAGGGCGGGTCCCGCAGCCGCGCCAAACACGCACCTGGCACGCGGCGCCGTGAGCCAGCACGGGAGCCGCATGCGAACTCTTTCGGCCGACTTCCACGACTTCCTCCTTCTCCTCCTCCTCCTCCTTCTCCTCCTCAATTCTTCCCCTCCTCCCCCTCCTCCCTCCTCCCTTTCCCCTTCATCACTCGTCCTCCTCCTCCTCCTCCTCCTCTCCTCCTGCTCCTCCTCCTCCTCCTCCTCCTCCTCCTCCTCCGTCCTCCTCATCCTCCTCCTTCAGCCTCCTCCTCCTCCTCATCCTTCAGCCTCCCCCGCAACATAGTTGCATCATCTGGTCCACACGTCCGCTCCGTAAAGGAACGGGTCGACGTTCGCGCGGCGATGCTCCGACGTAAGTCCGACGTTAAGCCGACGTGAATCCAGCGTTAATCCGACGTAATCCGACGTTCGCCCGACGTGAACTCCCGACTTGGATCCGACCTGACTTGGGCCTCAAGTTGCCGCGCGAGGCCTCCAGGATTCCATTCCTCATAACGATCGGGGGAGGCTCACGGCCAGCGAGTGGTGCCTCCCCTCGGTTCGGATGCAACTCCTGGAAGGTCAAACTCTGTTTTTGCCCTGGTCCGAGATCCGGCTTAATCCGGCTTCATCCGGCTTGATCCCGCTTAATCCGGCTCACTCCCGTCGAATCCCGCTGAATCCTGCTTAATCCGAGGCCCACTCCGGCATAACAGTCCCCCAACGGGGCTCAATCCTCTTCAATCTTTCCGACGAAAACCTCCCAGGAGTTGCCTCCTGACTTCGGGGACCGACGTTCCATCCATGCCCCTGCTGCTGCCTCCCCTGGGGGATCGACGTTCGATCCATGCCCCTGCTGCCGCCTCCGCTGGGGGATCGACGTTCGATCCATGCCTCCGCTGCGAGCGGTGCCTCCTGACCTCGGGGACCGACGTTCGATCCACGCCCCTGCTGCTGCCTCCGCTCTGGCCGCCCGCGGGGGGGGGGGGGCAGGGCACGGATGAGGAGCCTGGCGCTCCGCCCCCCTCGTAGAGCTCTGGCGCGAGCAGGGACAGGGACCGTGGAAGGCGATCCAAGTGGAGAGGAGAGGAAGCGTGCTGCCAAATGATTGCCAGACGTCCACAGCATGTGCCAAGCACGCTTTCAACATGGGAGACACATGCTTTTGAGCATTTTTAGACCATGTCTCAACACTTTAATCAATGATTCAATGATCAACTTTAGAACATGTGTCAACACTTTAGAACATGTTCCAACTTTTCCGCACATCTTTTTAATTCAATGGTCGGACTGTTAGAGTGTCCACTGTCGTGGCATCCACAAGGAGAAGCTGCCGATCGCCTGCCCCCCCCTGGGCAGGGCAGGGAGGGGCGACCGAGGCTACGACGAGGAGAGCCAGCTCACGGACGGTGTGCGCCGGAGGCGCGGCCTCGGGGGGGGGGGGGAGAGCGGGGCAGCCGCAGATCTCCGACGACGCGCTTTTTCCCACATCCAGAGCGGGGTTTTTGTTTCTCCGGGCACCCTCCGCGCAGGAGCACCTCCCTCCCACTCTCCGCCTCGCTCGCGCCTGTACCCCGTCATCGGTTATCATCACCATCGGTCATCATCACCGCCATCAGCATACTCAGTCACTCACCACCGGTCACCACAGATCTCCGACGACATGTTTTCTTCCGATCTGGATTTTCGGTTCGAGGTAAAAATTCGAGGTCCGATGTTTTCGGGAGTTTTTGAGGTTCGAGGTCTTGGCTGCGAGGCTAGAGGCTTGGAGGTTTGAGGTTCGAGGCCTTCGCTGCGAGGCCAGAGGTTCAGGCGGGGTCCAGGAACCGATGCTGAGCGGGTGTGCCCTCGTTCCCCCTTCTCGACAGATTGTCTCGGGGCCCAACCGGCCGGAGGAGGAGGAGGAGGAGGAGGAGGAGGAGAGAGGAGGAGGAGAGGAGGAGGAGGATGAGAGGAGGAGGAGGAGGAGAGGAGGAGGGGGAGGGGGGGGGAGGAGGAGGAGGGGAGGAGGAGGAGAGGGGAGGAGGAGGAGGAGGAGGAGAGGGAGAGGGGGGGAGGAGGGAGGGAGGAGGAGGAGGAGGGGGAGGAGGAGGGGGGGAGGGAGGAGGAGAGAGGGGAGGAGGAGGAGGAGGAGGGGGAGGAGGAGGGGGGGGGAGGTAGGAGGAGTAGGAGGAGGAGGGAGGAGGAGGAGGGAGGAGGAGGAGGGGGAGGAGGAGGGGGAGGAGGGGGAGGAGGAGGAGGGGAGGAGGAGGGGAGGAGGGGAGGAGGAGGAGGAGGAGGAGAGAGGCGAGGAAGGAGGACACGTGGGCCCTTCTCCGCGGGCCGGGTGCAGCTCGCCTTCCCCAGCCCGGCTCTGGGAACGGCTCCAGAGCTGCGGAGGGAGGGTCTACTACCAGCCTGGAACATATCCCTATCCCTATGCTGGTCACCTCCTCCTCCTCCTGCCCGTCCTCCTCCTCCTCCTCCTCCTCCTCCTCCTCCTCCTCCTCCTCCTCCTCCTCCTCCTCCTCCCCCTCCTCCCCGTCCTCCTCCTCCCCCTCCTCCTCCTCCTCCTCCTCCTCCTCCTCCTCCTCCTCCTCCTCCTTCCTGTCCCAGTGCGCCCATGGCCATGACCGGCAAGCCAGGGGCCGCTCTAGGGTTACCAGCCTGGTAAATATCCCTATCCCTATGCTGGGCACCTCCTCATCACGATGCCGATCTTAGGGATTCCCTTGTTTTTTGAGGGCGGATCCCTAAGATTGTCATCGCCTTCTGGCGTGTCAATCTTAGGGATAGGGATGCGTTCGAGGCTGGTAAGTCTACGCCTCCCAGATGGGGTCGGAGTGGACGGGGTCGGAGGATCGCGCCGCGTCGCCGATGCAGCGCCGATGCGGCTCGATGCGAAACCCGATTTGCTTCACGTCGACGGCGCCGAGGCATCGCCCACGTCGACGATGAATCGCCAGTGCATCGCCGATGCGAGGGGGCCACATGCGAACCCTACCCCTGCCCCCCACGATTTCTGAGGGGGAGGGTGGGGTTCACTTCGTTCGGGAGCTCCCGAGCGAAGTGAACCCCACCCTCCCCCTCAGAATCGTGGGGGGCAGGGGTAGGGTTCGCATGTGGCCCCCTAGATGCACCGCCGATGCATCGCTGGTGCATCGTCGATGCATCGGCGTTGCGGCGCGATTCCTCGACCCCATCTGTGGCGACCCCCTCCGGGAGGCCTCCGGAGAGGGTGCGGGCACGTGCAGGACTGGGGACACGCATTTAGCGAACGTGCCTTCCTCCGCGCCTTTCCCTACCCTTCAGTCGGGCGTGTCCCTCTACAGGAGGAATACTCGAACATAGTCCAAAAATGGTCTGGATGCGATGTGTCTACTATTTTTGACTTTTTTGGAGGTTTTTTTTTGGGGGGTATTTTTTTAATTTTTTTCGCCCCAAAACCCCCTGTAGGGGGACATGCCCGACCTAACCCTACCCGGGGATGCCGTGGCTGGCTCGCGTCAGAGCGATTCGGGAAGCTTCTCCACTGTCCGCTTCCGTGATCCTGGTTCTTATCGTGCCTTCACAGCTGCCGCAGTGGTGCCAGAGATGCCGTGCACACGTGCCTGGACAGACGTCACGACTCTGATTGTGACGTAATTCGTATACCGTTTTCTGACGGTCCCGGGGCCCAGCGAGGGCCCCCGGAGGCGGAAAATTGCCAATGAGACTCCCCCAGTGATTTTTTCACAAGCTCAGGGACGAGGGCAAATCCGCTCACAACTCGTCCCCAGACTCCTCCAGGGGTCGAAACTCATCGGCTGTTCGAGACGCGTCCAGCGGTGGCGACGAGGGGGGCCCTGATCTTAAGTCGGGCCTGTCCCTCTACAGGAGGAATGCTAAAAAAAAATGCCTGGGGGCGATTGTTGTTTACCATTTTTGTTGTTGTTGTTGTTGTTGTTGTTGTTATTGTTGTTGTTGTTGTTGTAGTTGTAGTTGTAGTTGTAGTTGTAGTTGAAGTTGTTGTTGTTGTTGTTGTTGTTGTTGTTGTTGTTGTTGTTGTTGTTGTTGCTGCTGCTGCTGCTGCTGCTGTTGTTGTTGTTGTTGTTGTTGTTGTTGTTGTTGTTGTTATTGTTGTTGTTGTCGTCGTTGTTGTTGTTGTTGTTGTTGTTGTTGTTGTTGTTGTTGTTGTTGTTGTTGTTGTTATGGTTGTTGTTTTTGTCTTTGTTGTTGTTGTTGCTGTTGTTATTGCTGCTTTTTGTTTGCATATTTTGGGGGCATTTGTTATCTTTCTTATAAAATCCGCCTGTAGGAAGACGTGCCCGACCTAACCGTGATCCCTCTTTTCTGTTGGCCGAAGCCAGCGGCGGGCTATTTGTGCGGTCCCTCATGGAGACCTCAGAGGGTCCCACACTTCCTTGCGGTAGTGGAGGTTCCGTCCAGGCTTCCTCGGATTTGGCCGACGCCATTTGGACGAAATCTGGACGAAAAGGGGAGGAGGGGGTACTCTGTTATAGTCGACCTTGACACAAGTCCGTGGTGATTAGCAAAAGATACAAATCAGCAAATATCAATCAAAGAGTATCCCCAACTTCGTGTTGCCTCCAAAGCTGATCATCTCATCGTTTACCGCATATGGCTGCAGTAAACTGCTCATATCTGATGCTCCTGTCCACAGGGGCTCCCATGAAGGCTCGCCCAAGGCTCAAGTCGGGCCTGTCCCTCTCCAGGGGGAATCTTCAAACATAGTTCCAACATCGTATGGGGGCTATTGTTTGAGCATTTTTTGACCAATTTGGAATATTTCTGGAGCATGTTTTATGTTTCGTCGAAAATCCCCCTGTAGGTGGACACGCCCGACTTAACCCACGCCCGAAAAATAGTTCCAACATGGGGACTATTGTTTGAGATTTTTTCGGCCAATTTGGAATATTTTTGGAGCATGTTTTATTTTTCGTCGAAAATCCCCCTGTGCACCCTAGGCGATGCATAAGAAAACTTAAATTTTCGGCCAGAGTCTCGACTATTCTTAATGGTTCAATGCAAATCCTAAGATTTTGCTAGAAATTCTGGGTTTTAATTCAAGTTCTGAGACTCTGAATTTCTGAACCCATGATTTCTTAAGCATTTCGCAGGGTGTAGGTGGACACGCCCGACCTAACCCAAGGCCACCTCGGCCCCCGTCAGCGCGCGTCGGGCGCTCGCGCCGCCGCCGCGGGCCTCTCTCGGGGGCCCCCTATGCGGGGTGGTGACCACACCGTGTGGTCCTCCGCCTCCTCCTCCTCCTCCTCCTCCTCCTCCTCCTCCTCCTCCTCCTCCTCCCCCTCCTCCTCCCTCTCCCTCTCCTCCTCCTCCTCCTCCTCCTCCTCCTCCTTCTTCTCCTCTGAGTCGGTGGGGGTTCGGGGTCACCGCACGGTTTTGGGGCTCGGGTCGTTCTCCGAGGACGTCTCGGGCGATTGGAGCCTCCAGGGTCCCAAGACCGTGCGCGGACGGACCGCGCGGTGAGGTCTTGGGGGATTTTTGAGGTCACCGCCCGGTCTGTCACCGCACCGTTGCGGGACTCCGAATTCTCCGAGCAGGCCGTATACCCTCGTGCTGTTCGACGAGTGCGAGAAGGCCCACCAGGACGGCGCTGCCTCCGGGGGGGGGGGGGGCAGCGGCAGACTCAGATTTTCGACGTTTGGATGTTTCAATCTGCGCGTTTTGCCTCGATTTCAGCCTCTGGGGCTATGATGTTCCAACCTACTGTAGCCTTGGTCACCAGAAAGAATTTCGAGCACCCAAAAGTGCCGACACTGGAGGGTTTTCACGTGTCGGGCCCTTGGAGGCGATACTCGTTCGACACTGCTTCGATACTGTTCTGTGTGCTCGACATTGTTTTTAGGATGTGGTCCTTAAATACGATGGGAACAGCATAACCCTGGGGCCCGCTATCGAGCCGTGGGGCAACGCAATATTGTCCCTGGGCGCATGAATAATCCCAGGAAAGGGGTCGAGAGCTCTGGGGCCTCTGATTGGAGCAGATAATATCGGAGGATTTCTGAGGACTGGCACACTCGCGTCGTGGAAAAGTCACGTCGGACGGTTCGGTTTTAGTCCTTTTCGGCTTCCGTGGGCCCTCACCAGGCCTCAGGTTCATGAACAAAAACGACTCAGGCTGAAGAAGCAGTCCTGGAGGCATCGGGGGCGTGCAAGAGGAGGGGATGAGGACACGGTGGCCGGGACCGTGGACCAACCCCGGTTCTTCGTGGCCCCAGCTTCTTCTTCTCTCAACGCGTCCGCTGCCCCCCACCCCTCGGCCGCGCGCGCTCCCCAGGCCATGATTCGCGAACGCACCCTCTTCCTGGCCCTCCTCTTCGGCGCACCCGGCGGAGGGAGGGAGAGAGAGAGAGAGAGAGAGGAAGAAACAAACGAGAGAAAAAGAGGGAGGGATCGAGCGAGACATTGTCTGTATGTCGAGGTGGATGTCGAGGTCTGGACGGCCGTCGCTGACGGAGGCTCCACGGGCAGCCCAGAGGGCGGGGGGCTGCTCGGGGCCGTGGGCGGCCCTCCTCCCTCCAGGGGGGGTCTGGCCCTGGGCCCCCCCCAGCTCTGTACCCTCCGCTTGTGGCAGAGAGGGCAGTCGGCGGCGCGCCGAGGGGGGGGCAAGCGCGAGAGCCCGAGCCGCTTGGGACACCTGCAGCCCAGCTATGAGCTATGCCAGGCCAGGCCTAACCCCCCAGCTCTGTACCCTCGGCTTGTGGCAGAGAGGGCAGTCGGCGGCGCGCCGAGGGGGGGCAAGCGCGAGAGCCCGAGCCGCTTGGGACACCTGCAGCCCAGCTATGAGCTATGCCAGGCCAGGCCTAACCCCCCAGCTCTGTACCCTCGGCTTGTGGCAGAGAGGGCAGTCGGCGGCGCGCCGAGGGGGGGCAAGCGCGAGAGCCCGAGCCGCTTGGGACACCTGCAGCCCAGCTATGAGCTATGCCAGGCCAGGCCTAACCCCCCAGCTCTGTACCCTCGGCTTGTGGCAGAGAGGGCGCGGGCGCGCCGAGGGGGGGGCGAAGCGCGAGAGCCGAGCCGCTTGGGACACTGCAGCCCAGCTATGAGCTATGCAGGAGGCGGCCTAACCCCCCAGCTCTGTACCCTCGGCTTGTGGCAGAGAGGGCAGTCGGCGGCGCGCCGAGGGGGGGGCAAGCGCGAGAGCCCGAGCCGCTTGGGACACCTGCAGCCCAGCTATGAGCTATGCCAGGCCAGGCCTAACCCCCCAGCTCTGTACCCTCGGCTTGTGGCAGAGAGGGCAGACGGCGGCGCGCCGAGGGGGGGGCAAGCGCGAGAGCCCGAGCCGCTTGGGACACCTGCAGCCCAGCTATGAGCTATGCCAGGCCAGGCCTAACCCCCCAGCTCTGTACCCTCGGCTTGTGGCAGAGAGGGCAGTCGGCGGCGCGCCGAGGGGGGGGCAAGCGCGAGAGCCCGAGCCGCTTGGGACAGCCGCTTGGGACACCTGCAGCCCAGCTATGAGCTATGCCAGGCCAGGCCTAACCCCCCAGCTCTGTACCCTGTACCCTCGGCTTGTGGCAGAGAGGGCAGTCGGCGGCGCGCCGAGGGGGGGGCAAGCGCGTGAGCCCGAGCCGCTTGGGACACCTGCAGCCCAGCTATGAGCTATGCCAGGCCAGGCCTAACCCCCCAGCTCTGTACCCTCGGCTTGTGGCAGAGAGGGCAGCCGGCGGCGCGCCGAGGGGGGGGCAAGCGCGAGAGCCCGAGCCGCTTGGGACACCTGCAGCCCAGCTATGAGCTATGCCAGGCCAGGCCTAACCCCCCAGCTCTGTACCCTCGGCTTGTGGCAGAGAGGGCAGTCGGCGGCGCGCCGAGGGGGGGGCAAGCGCGAGAGCCCGAGCCGCTTGGGACACCTGCAGCCCAGCTATGAGCTATGCCAGGCCAGGCCTAACCCCCCAGCTCTGTACCCTCGGCTTGTGGCAGAGAGGGCAGTCGGCGGCGCGCCGAGGGGGGGGCAAGCGCGAGAGCCCGAGCCGCTTGGGACACCTGCAGCCCAGCTATGAGCTATGCCAGGCCAGGCCTAACCCACCTTGGCATCCGCGGATAGCCCCCGTGCCCCCTCAGCAACCCCCGCGCTCATCCCGGTAGGCCTTCCAGACGGGGGCGGAGTGGTAACCCCCCAGCTCTGTACCCTCGGCTTGTGGCAGAGAGGGCAGTCGGCGGCGCGCCGAGGGGGGGCAAGCGCGAGAGCCCGAGCCGCTTGGGACACCTGCAGCCCAGCTATGAGCTATGCCAGGCCAGGCCTAACCCCCCAGCTCTGTACCCTCGGCTTGTGGCAGAGAGGGCAGTCGGCGGCGCGCCGGGGGGGGCAAGCGCGAGAGCCCGAGCCGCTTGGGACACCTGCAGCCCAGCTATGAGCTATGCCAGGCCAGGCCTAACCCCCCAGCTCTGTACCCTCGGCTTGTGGCAGAGAGGGCAGTCGGCGGCGCGCCGAGGGGGGGCAAGCGCGAGAGCCCGAGCCGCTTGGGACACCTGCAGCCCAGCTATGAGCTATGCCAGGCCAGGCCTAACCCACCTTGGCATCCGCGGATAGCCCCCGTGCCCCCTCAGCAACCCCCGCGCTCATCCCGGTAGGCCTTCCAGACGGGGGCGGAGTGGATGGGGTCGGAGGAGGGCGCCGCATCGCCGATGCGTCGGCGATGCGGCTCGGTGCGGAGCCTGATTTTCCCCACGCCGACGTTGCCGGTGCAGCGCCGGCGTCGCCGGGGCATCGCCGATGCGGCGCGATCCTCTGACCCCATCTGCTCGGACCCCACCTGGGAGGCCTCCAGAGAGGGGGGCCATGGCTCTCAGAACGTCCCACTAGGGCTGTCGGGATATGGCGGCCAGGAGTGATCGGAGGCCGATCTGTGTTCAGAAGGCCAGGCCAGCTCCTCACAAAATACAGCCGTGAGCTGCCTGCCCAGGCTGATCCAGGCATCGTTCGAGTCGTGTTTTCTTGTTCGGATTAAGTCGGGCATGTCCCTCTACAGGAGGAAAATTCTAAAATAGTTAAAAACAATGTGGGGACGATGCTTTGAGTATGTTTTGTCTGTTTTTGAATATTTTTGGAGTGTGCTTTATTTTTCATCCCAAATCCGCCTGTGGGGGGACACGCCCGACCTAATCTTAGGAACAGGCGGCAGTGGCACCCGAGCGACGCAGAAAAACGGGGTCGTCTGTACCGACGCGGGTGCGCAGGCTGCCCGCGCGTCAGGTCGCGCGTGAGCGCCCTCGTTTCCAGTGTGGCGTGCCGCGCCGGCGGCCCGCGTAAGACACCGCGCAAGGTCGCTACGCCATCTCGCGTGAGACCCCTTTTCTGATCGTCGCTAGCACATCTTGGAAGGGACCTCTCAAGCTTGTGTCAGGCCAGCGCAGTGTCCATCAGAGCAAGACCGCAGCTGAGCACGGGAGGGCGTGCAGGCGAGCTGCGGAGTTCGGGCACGCAGAAGCAGGGTGCGGACGACGCTGCAGAGCCCTGGGAGAGCAGAGTACTGACTCGGAGGCGAGCGAGGGAGGAAACGAGCAGGAGAAGGCCTCCTCAGAAGGCGGCGGGACTTCTCAGAAGGCCTCCGGCCTTCTGAGAAGTCTTTTCTGTTCTCGGGGAAGGCTTGGAACACTTCTCCGAAGTCCCAGGAGCTTCCGAGCCTTCCGAGAAGGCCTTCTCCTTCTCACTTCCCCCCTGGGCGCGCCGCCTACGGACAGCGCGAGCACCACATCTGCGGGTGGCCGCGCGAGCTCCCGCGGAGCGCGGCACGGGCTCCTCGGAAGGCGGCCCAGAACTGGGCACCAACACCAACACAGGGGGGTTGCCTCCACAGGGGGAAGAGGATCCTAGCTTCCGGTGTTGGTGGCAATAGTTCGGCCACCCTGGAACATTACCACCATCGCCGAGATCGTTACCTTCTTCCCTCGGCGGAGGCACGCCGCCGATATCGGTGCTGGTGGTGATCTTTCGGCCACCCTGAACATTACCACCGTCGCCGAGATCGTCATCTTCTTCCCCCGGTGGAGGCACACCGCCGATGTATCTTGGTAGTCCCCAAACGTGGTGGTGACAACACCTGGCGGTGAGTCTCGGGCGATTTGGTGTCACCACCTGGTTTGGGGACTCGTGCGGTTTTCCGAGGATGTCCCGGGCACTGGTGGGTCCAGGAGTCACAGAACCCGGCGGTGACCCCGCGTCCCCAAACCCAGCGGTGACCTTTCTGGGGATTCCAGGTCGCCACCTGGTATCTCACCACCCGGTTTGGGGGCTCCCAAATATCGGTGCTGGTGCCAATCTCTCCAGGCCTGTGAAGCTCCTTCACCACCCACCAAACCACCCCAACCCAACCCGAAGGCTCAAATTTACCGTCGACTTCCAGTGGGGGGGGGGGGGTCGGGGAACAACGAAAAAACACACGTGGAACCCTTAACCCCCCCAACCCGAAATTCGGGTCTTCGGGTTGGGTTGGGGTGGTCTGGTAGGTAGTCAGGAAGCCTCCGCAGAGGGCGGGCGGGGGAGGCCGGAGGGGGCCTCCCCCCCCCGGGCCCTCCGGGGCGGCCCGCCCGCCCTTGGCTCTGCCTCGGCCCCCCCTGGGCTCGCGGATGCCAGGACTCAGGAGGGGACAAAAGCAGACAGACACAATTCATCGTCGATTCCCCCAGAACATCTGGGAAACTACAGGAAGTGGGGGGGGAGACAAAAACCCCGAAAATAGGGGGAAGTATGGGGGATCCTCTCATTTGTGTCTATTTATTTGTCTGCCCCAGGTTCCCTTCAAGGACAGCGGGCCCTCTAACGGTCCTATCGTTGAGTTGCAGATCTGTTTTTAGCATATCGGAGGTGGCAAAGAGGGGGGTGATGACCAGGGGGGGGGATATCATGGCGTGGGCCATGATCTCTCCCCAGATCTCATGGCGCCTCTTCTCATTTCATTGCGTCCCTGGCCCCCCCCCCTGGGCCGCGCACGTGCCGCCGGCTATGATTTGCACCCCTTCCTCTTGAACACCCCCCTCTTGGCCGCTCCCGAGTTTTCGGGGGTGGACAGACCTCCTACCCTGACACGTCGATTAGCGAATCGGCCGTTTTCGGTTCGCGAGAGGGCGTCGCGGCCGTCATTTTTGCGGATCCAGGTCCGAAGGTTTCGGTCCCAGGCCGTTTTCACTAAGGGGGGGTTTACTAACGGGAGGTTTGTCCACCGCCGAGCAGTTCTGTCGTTGTGTTTAGGATGTGTGAAGCATGTTCTTAATATGCTCAAACACACTTTTGTTTAAACATGTTCAAGGCATGTTGGACACATCTTTTGGTCGGAGGGCGCCAACTACACACCAACACCGATCCTGGCCCAGGATCACCCTGGGCCCATGATCGGTGTATATGCCTTCTTGCCCAAGGCAGGAGGGCGTATACACCGATCCTGGGCCCAGGGTGATCCTGGCCAGGATCGGTGTTGGTGTATAGTTGGTGCCTTCCTATTTACTCCAGATCTCGTAATAAAAGGGAGGGGGTCTGGACCCTCCCAGACAAGCCATTTCAGACCCCCCCCGTGGGAGAACCCTCCAAAACGTCGTCCCCAGACCCCCCCAGGCCCTCCAAGATAGCCTGGAAGAGACCCCCCCCGAAATGAGACCCCCCTCCCTTTATTACGAAATCTGGAGTATAGTTGGTGCCCTCCTATTTAGGCATCTGGCAGTGACTTGGCAGCATGCTTCCTCTCCGTTGCTCGACCTCCGCAGCCCCGGGGTCTCATTTCGGGGGGGGTCTCTTCCAGGCTATCTTGGAGGGCCTGGGGGTGTCTGGGGACGATGCTCTGGAGGGTTCTCCCACGGGGGGAGGTCTGAAGTGGCTTGTCTTGGAGGGTCCAGACCCCCTCCCTGTTATTACGAAATCTGGAGTAGGTCGCAGCTGCTCCGCTCGAGCGGGCCGGCGCTGTCCCCCCCGCCGCCTCTTCCGGAGGCGTGCCCCGCAGGGGGCCGCCTCGTTGCCTTCGCCGCCCTCGCGCCGTGGAGGCAAAAATCACGACGGGAGGCTTCTGCGCGCACTCGGCCTCCCGGGAGCCCTCGCCAGTCTCCGGGGCCGTCAGAAAGAGGCTCAGGATGACAAGCCGGTCCCGGGGAAGGTGTCCAGATCTCTGGGGGTCGTGCTGTGAAGAAGTCACGACGTCGGAGTCACGACGGGAGGTTTTAGGCAATTTTCAGCCTGCAGGGGCCCTTACGGGGCCCTGGCACCGAGAAAAACGACTCGGGATGAACACCCAGTCCCGAGGAAGGGGTCCAGATCTCCCGTGGTCCACGTTGTGAGCAAACCACGACGTCGCAGTTCTGGGCACGCAAGCGGGCGAGGCAGCCGCAAGAAGGCTTCTCAAAAACTCTCGGGCCTTCTGAGAAGTTTTGTTTTCGTTGGCAGTACAAGGCCCGCCCACTCTCACTTCCCCCAGGGCTCGCCGCCGAGTTGCAGATGTGGTGCTCGCGGTCTCCCCGGAGAAGCCACGGCTGAGGTGTGCTGAGCTGCATCAGAACTGCCGCCCGCTGCACAGTCTCTAGGGCCCTTGTGGCGAGGAGGGCCCACGGTGCGCAGCAGAGGCTTGACACCCCGTTTGCTCGTCCTTCTTAAGGCTGCCCTCGGTGTCCTCATCCTTGGCGTCTCTCTCCCTCTCTCCCTCCTTCGTCGTCGTCCGCCTCTTCCTCTTCCTATCTGTTTTGTTTTCCTTTCCGTTGCGAGGACGTCTTCAACCTGATGCTTCAGATCCTGGAAGACGGGCGCCTGACGGACTCCAAAGGCCAGCGTCCCCCCCAGCACACCTGCCGTCTGGCATCCAGCGAACTCGCCCCCTCGGCTTGATTGGCAGAGGCTCGAACCCAGGGGTCATCCATAACCCCGACGTCGTGGGAGGAGCAGGAGGAGGAGGAGGAGGAGGAGGAGGAGGAGGAGGAGGAGGAGGAGGAGGAGGAGGAGGAGGAGGAGGAGGAGGAGGAGGAGGAGGACCCCCTCCCCCGACCAGCTTCTCGTCTCGAGCCGTCTCTTGACGGCCCTGGGGGCCCGGCGGAGGCAGCAGCCTCGCGCTGTGCTGCTGGCGCTGCGAGGGGCGGTGTGGGGGTACGCCCCGTGCGCGGCTGGCCGTCCGAGGAGGAGGAGGAGGAGGAGGAGGAGGAGGAGGAGGAGGAGGAGGAGGAGGAGGAGGAGGAGAGGAGGAGGAGGCGGAGGGGCGGAGGAGGAGGAGGAGGAGGAGGAGGAGGAGGAGGAGGAGGAGGAGGGAGGGAGGCGGAGGAGGAGGAGGAGGAGGCGGAGGAGGAGGAGGAGGCGGGAGGAGGCGGAGGAGGAGGAGGAGGCGGAGAGGCGGAGGAGGAGGACGAGGAGGAGGGGGAGGAGGAGGAGGAGGAGGAGGAGGAGGAGGAGGAGGAGGAGGAGGAGGAGAAGGAGGAGGAGGAGTGGCTTCGCGAGGGCGGCCCCAGAGGCCCAGGCTGAGCGCCCCCCCTTTGGACGCCCGAAATGGGCACGGACAGAATGGGCACAATGCCCAACAACTAATTTTGTCCCAAACCAACAGCGGCCGCTATTGGGCAGGCGGCCTTCTGTCTCAGATGGGCACAGGCCGCGGCGACACAGACAGCGAGTCCTGTTCAAGATGAACAGGAGCTGCTGTTGGGCATTGTGCCCATTCGTTCCGTACCCATGTCGTTCGTCCCGACCCCCCCTCTCCCCGCTGCTCTCACGGCGCCCTCCTGCCCAGCCGCCTGCCCCCCGCGCGCCCGCCTCCGCCTCCGTGCCCGGGGTCACTGAGGCTTCTACACACGCGGGGCGCCGGCGAGAGGCGGCGGATGGGGAGGCGGAGGCCCGCGGAAGCAAAGCGAGGGCGGCTCCGCCGGCGGAGGGTTGGCGGAAGGCGGCAGCGGAAGTAAACCATACCCCGCCAAGAGATGGCAACATTCTTGGGCTCAGGGTTTCTGGACCTGGCCATGCATCCATCGCCTGGGGAGCCACGCCCCTCAGGGGCAGCGTTGGGGGAGGGCAGGTTTTCGGGCGCCCTCCGCTGTTGTCGGCGGTCTCTCCAGCCTCGGGATGCCTTCAGGGATCTCGGGCGTTTTCGTTGGTTCCCAGCGGCTTTCCAGCCTCGGGATTCGGGGCTCAAGGGACGGGGTCAACGCAAACCAGGGTCAGCCAGAGCGCCGGGTTTTGCAGGATCCTGCAGGGCCAGGGGTGCACTGACCCGGGTCTGCGCGTAGGATCCTGAAAAGGCCCGACTGACCCAGGTTTGGATTGACCCGGGTCAGTGCGTCCCTCACCGAGCGCGTTCCACTACTCGCAGAGTGCCTGCTCGCAAACGTGCGAAACACATGTCCGCTTCGATGTAATCTGTCGTAGATCCTCCGCGGGGGATCCAGGCCATTTGCGAGTAGAGGAGGAGGAGGAGGAGGCGGAGGAGGAGGAGGAGGCGGAGGAGGCGGAGGAGGAGGAGGAGGAGGAGGAGGAGGAGGAGGAGGAGTTTGCGAATAGTGGAACGGGCTAGTCCAGTCCCCGAGGGATGCTGCCCAGTTGCTGCGCCTCGCCGTGAGCGCTCCTGGGGTGCCCGGGTCGGGGGTATCCACAGGACAGGGACGGGCTCGGAGGGGGTAGGCATCGACCTCCTCCTCCTCCTCCTCCTCCTCCTCCTCTCCTCCTCCTCCTCCTCCTCCTCCTCCTCCTCCTCCTCCTCCTCCTCCTCCTCTTCCTCCTCCTCCTCCTCCTCCTCCTCTCGACCCGCAATCGCCGATGCATTGTCGATGCGATCGGACCGAGGTATGCGATCGAGGTCGGTTCGGGGAGGGCACCCTGATGTTCTCCGTGCTTGTTGGATGCTCTTGTGCATCCTGGGGAGGGTACCCTTGGACGTTCTCTGTATGTGTGTGTGTGTGTGTGTTGGCTGGCGGAGGGCCTCGTGTTCTTGAGTCATGCTCTTCTGGCTTGGGTTCTGCTGCAGGGGCCCGGTAGCCCACCCTGCCCACGGACGTGCGGTCTCGCCATCGGCCGGCCAAAAGACAAACGACACCACCCTACCTATGGCCCTCCGTATTGCGCTACGTCCCATCGGGGGCCGTAGCGTATGCCATGCAAGAACCCACGCCAGATGCCCAGGTATACACTGCGGCTCGTGGGGCCGCAGGTGGGGTGGTGTCTTTTGTTTTCTGGTCCAATCGGGGCCTCTGGCCGATCCATCGGTGATACCGCCGCCGATTCCAGGTCGACAGTCCCCCCTCGGAGCCAGTCTGGCCGACCTTCCCCGGCCTCGGGAGGCGGGGGGAAAAGAGCACATCTTTCGGCCCCCCCTCGAGGCCCGAGCGCGACCGCATCCATGGCCCCCACCTCTTTCGGGGAAGCGTAAGACCCGAGTAAGCCCGAACTCGGGTTTGCCCACTTTTTTTGACGAGCGCGTCCTGTTTTCGTGGGATGTCTGCAGCGGGAGCCCGCGTCAAATTTCAGATTGGGTCTCGTCATTTTTATGATTGCCCCCGTCAGGCCAACCCGAGTCCCCCGTACCCGAGTCTTGCGTCTCCCCGACCTTTCTCATTGCGAAACATGTGCGACGGGATGTTTTTGGGACCCTTTTCGGTCTCTTGGGGCCCTTGCTGGGCCCCAGGCCAGTCTTCACTAGCCCTGTCGCACCTACATTGTGGTGACGTCTCAAGCGGTCTCCTTGTTTGGGTGCCCAGGCTCGTCTCTTTTCAGCGCAGGTTGTGAGGATGTCTTGAGCGAGGCGCTGTTTTCGGCACCCTAGGGGGGAGGACCAGGCGGTATTGCACGGGCCCGTTCGCGCCCAGAGTGTCCGGGTATCTCAGGCGGTTTGCTTGTTTGGGGCCCACACTAGTTTGCTGTCAGAGCATAGTGTGAAGATGTCACGAGCGAGGCGCTGGTTTCAGCCCCCCCGTTCGCGGCCAGGTTGTTGGAATGTCTCACGCGGTTTGCCTGTTCAGAGCCATGGACTTGCTTTTTTCACAGCAGATTGTCAGGATGTCTCTGGCGAGGCGCTGGTTTCACAACCCCATGGGGAAACCGCCAGGGGTTTTTGTATGGAGGAGGAGGAGGAGGAGAAGGAGGAGGAGGAGGAGGAAGAAAGGGATGATGATGATGATGATGATGATGATGATGATGATGATGATGATGATGATGATGATGATGATGATGATGATTCATGATGATGATGATGATGATGATGATGATGATGATGATGATGATGATGATGATGATGATGATGATGATGATGATATGATGATGATGATGATGATGATGATGATGATGATGATGATGATGATGATGATGATGCTGATGATGCTGATGATGCTGATGATGATGATGATGATGATGATGATGATGATGATGATGATGATGATGATACCGTAGCCATTTTGGCTCAAGTAAAACATTTGTCAAGGCAGCTGGCCAGGACAGCTCTTTGAGCTCGCGTCCCACAGTTGGCTGCCAAGCCAGGGCGTGAGCAGTCATTTCATCTTTCCCACACCATCAGGTGATTCCTTGTGGCGACCATTGTCCAGCACGGCGCCGTCTGGCGTTTGCTTCCGTTTGCCCCGGCCGCAGCCATGCAGCGCTCTGACACATCAATGCGAGCGGCCGCAGCACACAGATTCTCGAGTCCGTCCGCGACCAAGTGTGAGCAATGTGGCTGTGGACGAAACAAGCGACGGTGGAAATGGTGCAAACATTGTAAGGCGCCGATGCATGCTGCCGATGATGTCGTGCTTCAACAACGTCCGCGTGGGCCTGGTCGGTCTCCTGGGCCTGCTGCTGATCGTGGTCAAGCACTGCGACGCGCGCCCTGGATACGACCTGATGCACAATTGGGTAAGGCCTCAGCAGTCTCGTCCCCAGGGCCAGGCGCTACGAGGCGAGTCCCATCAGTATCATTCGCTGACGGCACACGGCCAGGCACTACATCACCCCAACGTTTCAGGTTGGAAGAATCGGCATGGCCAGGCCCCAATGGTGACTCGCAGGAGCAGGCACGTCTGGCAGACCTCATCCAGCTCCTTCGTGCCAATGGTGACGCGGAGATGGCAGCAAAGTATCAGTCGAAGCTGGACTTGCTCAATCAGCAGAAGGCCATCGAGAACATCAGCGTCGGCCAGGCGAAGCAGAAGGTGGAGCAAGCGGAGGCGGCCCTCCGCAGGGCCATCACCTACTGCGAGAAGTTGGAAGAGCAATTCGTCACGGCCCAGGACCAAGTCGAGTCCTGTTCGGAAGCAGTGGACAATGCCCGCAACATCTATAAACAGGCCGTCCAGAAGCTTGCAAAGTCGGTGGACACCAAACTGCCTGACAGCGCCGACGCTCCTGCTGCCCCTCGTCTCGACCTGGCTGCAATCCTGGACGGTAAGCCCCTGGACCTCGACGACGGAGGGCTGTTTGGACTTGATGAGCTGGGGGAGTTGGTTTCGGCCGAGGACCTGGTGGAGGCCCAGAAGAGGAAAGAGGCCCTTCAGGAGAAGTTTCGGGAATTGGCTACCGTCTGTTTCGGGCAGGTCAAGGCCAAAGCTGATGAGCTCAAGCACGAACATACCTTGGCTAAACAGCGAGTAGCAGCCAAGAAGCGACGATGCGAGCAGCAAGAGGAGGAGGGGCCAGGAGGTACAGCAGCTAATGGTGACGAGGCTAAGGCGGCTACTGAGGCTGCTGACAGTCTGGCAGCAGGTACCCCAGCTGACCCCAAGGCTGCTCCGTCTACGCCTGGTGCGCCTGCAGCTTCTGAAGCCGAACCTGGCTCAAGCAAGAAAGCCGCTGGCAAGCCAG